TGAGCCGAGATCGTGCCATTGCACTCCAGCCTGGGTAACATGAGTGAAACTCCGTCTCAAAAAAAATAAAATAAAAATAAAAAATAAAAAAGATAATGCAGTAGACGACTACAGAACTTAGAAAAGTGCCTCACTTCCTAGGATAAAGGAAACAATTCTGAAACAGCCAGCTGGAAGAGTTGCACAGGGCAAGGCACGGGGGGCATGGTGCACGGAGCTTTTCTGCCCTCTCCACCCTCCCGGCACATCCACCTGTTTTTCTAACCCAATCTTTAGTCTCCCAGCCTGCATCTTGTCACCGCATTAGCATAAACTCAGGTGTGGTCTTGTTAGGATTAATGGAGGTGTGGGGGCTGCTGTCAAGAAAAGACACTTCCATCACTTAGAAAATTACAACAGTTTCAGGAGCTCTGTCAGGAACCAAATATATGTATTTGTGTCTCTGTGGCCCCTTCTGGAGTGCCCAGGTGTAATCATAGTTCACTGTAGCCTCCAACTCCTGGACTCAAGTGATCCTCCCACCCCAGCCTCCCAAGTAGCTGGGACTACAGGCGTGCTCCAACACACTCAGCTAATTTTTTAATTCTTTTTTGTTGAGATGAGGTCTCATTATGTTGGCCAGGCTGGTCTCGAGCTCCTGGGCTCCAGTGATCCTCCCACCTCAGCCTTCCAAAGTGCTGGGATTACAGGTGTGAGCCACTGTGACCAGCCATCTACATATTTTTAAAAATTTTTATTATACCACATGGGGTTCTTTAAGTTTAGATTCTTTCTCTGGGGAAGGACAGGAGAAACTATTGCTTTCATTAATTCCAGGGCAGAGAATCAGGCAGCTGAAGTCAGGGGCAGGAGGGTGGCTCTTGGTTTAAATGTATATGTGAATATATTATCTATTGGAAAAACAAATTAAAAACGATTTTTAGTCCTTGTCTTGGCTAATGTCGTCAGTCTCCAGGCTTTCTTAACCATATCCATACTCTGCCAGCCCTCTCCATCTTCACCCAATAAACACCCTCCTCACCAGCCTTTCTCTAGGCAGTTCCTCCACTGGAACACCAAGTGTTCACACTTGTTCATGCCAGTTGTTGTTCCAAACCCTTCTGGGGGATCAACCCATTCAAATATCATCACGCATTTTACAGATGAGTCAATGAAGGCACAGGGAGATTAAATAACATGCCAAAGTCACAGAGGGACCTGGAATTTGAACATTAAAAATCTGGCTCCAAAGACCAAGCCTTAATCACTGCTCTAGATGGTCTTTCCATAAATTTCCAGGTCCAGTCCAATTGCAACCTCCTCTGGGAAGCCTTCCTGCCTCCTCCATTAAGAAATTAACCCCTTGGCTCAAGCCTGTAATCCCAGCACTTTGGGAGGCCGAGGCGGGCGGATCCCAGGTCAAAAGATCGAGACCATCCTGGCCAATATGGTGAAACCCCGTCTCTACTAAAAATACAAAAAAATTAGCTGGGCATGGTGGCACATGCCTGTAGTCCCAGATACTCAGGAGGCTGAAGCAGGATAATTGCTTGAACTGGGGAGGAGGAGGTTGCAGTGAGCCGAGATTGTGCCACTGCACTCCAGCCTGGCACCTGGCGACAGAGTGAGACTCTGTCTCCAAAAAAAA